CGAATGTTGTTCATCACACACGGGTGTGTAATAAAAAAGGTTACTCCCTCTCTTAGCGCAGCGATAAATGTTTATATGTTGTAACACAACATTTTTTTCAAAAATAATCAACGGCTGGTTGTCAAATGTAAGAACCGTCACCCAACGACCAGATTCATTTCAGTAAATCGCAACGTTCCATCAACATTCCATATGATCAAGCCCAGAACTCACCGATTCAACCAGTCTGACAAGTCCTCTAAGTGGATCCATTTTGACCCCGTCTGATGAAGTCGACGAAGCAAGACCCGATCCAACAGCAACACGATCAACAAGTCTCGAAATCCGGATCGTTTCAATGTCCAACTGGGACAACCCAGACCGATCATACCTCCGGACAGGATGAGCAATGATGTGCTGAAATAGTACCAAAACTGATGCTCCTCTTCCGCAAAACTGCTTCCGCCCAGACTGAAAGTTTGCAAGATCAGGAGCACGGCCGCCACGGTGCTCACCAGTTTCGCCGAGTGTAATGAGAACAACTCGACCGATTTGACTTGGGCGGAATCGTAACGCTGAACACAAATGGCCAACGAAAAACAGGAATGGAAAAATCCAACACGATGATTGAATGGTGAAAAGACCACGTTATTTTAAGGCACTGTTTATGCTGTACCGAGAAAAAGAAAACTAAACTGGAAGCTCTCCGTTGTGCATGCAGACAAACGTCGAAACAAGATAGAGAATGTCAATCAATCTGTCAGGTGCTTTCCCACTAATTGGATACCGGTGCGGACCACCACTAGAGCCACATATTGATGAGCCGGCGTTTAGTTGCTGTCTTTTGCTTGTCCACACAAGAAACGAGTTATAAACCTCCGAAATCCTCACTATAATCTAGGGCGGGTGTCCAGGGTTGCAGTTGGTCAGCCTTACCATGCGCACCGAGGATTGCTACCATACGATCAAGCGTCTCAAATAGCCTCTGTTGAGGAAGTCCTGCTCACCGCCTTCTCGTGGTGGAAATGTTTTCCTACCAAAGTGAGTGGACGAAAAGCCAACATCCTGGGGCTGTAAACGGGTTGGTACATCTAGGGGGTTGGCTAAATCCCTCATTTCAAACCAACCAACAGGCGTTGTTATGTCGCCAAATTGCTGTGTTTTGCACCGCGTATATCCGTTGCCTACTACTAGGTCGCACAGCACAGGAGAACATCACAAGTGCAAATCACACAAGATATAGCACAGTAACAATAGTAGCACACGGGAACACGAAAACAGCAGACTGGCACTAAGTACGTGAGCGGATGATAGTTCTAGG